ATTAAAATTGAGGAACAATTACCTCCCGATCTTCGGTATTTTGATGATTTTAGCGACATTATTCACCGGAATTGTTTCAAATTTGGTATTTGAAGTTCGTAATGGATACTACAAGTTTCGAATATTAATATGGTAGAGGCTTATGGAAAACAAAGCCTATGCAGGTTCACGTCATAGAGACCTCAATATATCGGCTATATTCGGTATTTTTAAGATGTTAACAGAATTTTTAACGGATTTTATTTTTTGAAAATTTCCAAATTCGTTTCAAAAGGTGGAGGGTATTCGGCCCAGCCGAACTTACTGTTTTTTAACTTGTTATACCCTTATCCATATGGCTAGGGAGGGTATATATCATTTAATATGCCCAAAACGTGCCCCATCGAAATAGCGGTTTTAGGCACTAGGTCTCTTTGGTCGAAATACATTTCAGGACATTTGAAGTCGATCTATGGGTGTCAGTCCGATTGTCTTTCTGGCTGGCTGGTGCGCACGATAACTGTCGAAAGGAGAATTCGATTTGGTCCAAACTTGGTACATCGTAAAATTATTATCAAACTTAGATTGAGTTCGGATATGGGCAATATCGGTCCACTCCTATTGGTACTTCCTCCACAAAATGGCAACATTTTCAAAGAATCGGATCATCCGATTTTGCCCAAACTTTGTAAATCCTAATATTTGTGTCGGTGCTAGGTCAGGTGCGAAAATGGATAACATCTGCTCATTCCTTCTGGTACCTGCGCCACAACGGGTCTAAATTTTGAATTTCATGGTTATTCAAAATTTAGACCCGTTGTGGGGCATAAAACGCGAAATAAACATCAGATTCCTTTTAAAATCTGTACATCGTAATATTTCTATCCACGCAAGATCTGGCGTGGATGGGATATATCGGATCACCTTGAAATTTTGGATGAGGGTCATTCTTGGTCCGAAGGTGTCAGATAAAGCTTGGTTTTCGGAAATTCGTACTAGAACGGTTTGACAAGTACTAAATATAGTACACTTTGTAATTGAGGAAGCAGTAGAGAGAGAACTCTTAAATTTGGAATGAGGGTCACTGATGGAGTGTATGATAGATGTATCAAAGAATTTTTGGACATTCGCACTATAAACGTACGAAAAGTACTAAAATGCACTACATTTGGTACCATTTTGTATCATGTGAACGGTTAAAGCGAAAAACTTGAAGTTTGAAATGAAAATCAAGGTTGAGGAGTAGAGTCGATGTAAAGAGGTAGTTTTGGAACTGTGCACCCATGTATACGTAAAGTACGAAACGGTACAAAATTTAGTACAATTCGAATTTGGAGGAACGGATGGAGCTGGAATACTGAAATTTGGAATGAACTTTACTGGCGGAGTGTAGGATTGGGATATGTAGGAAGTTTGCTAAATGTGTACTTATGTGTACGAGAAGTACTAAATGGTACTAAATTTGGTACAATTTCGATTTGGGAGAACCGATAGAACTGGAATTCTGAAAATAAGAAATAAGATTACTATTTCATTAAAAGACTGGGAAACGTGGGTAGTTTTAGAAATTCGTACTAATGTGTACTAAATGGTAATAAATTTGGTACAATTTAAATTTTTGGAGAACCAATAGAGTGGGAATCTTGAAATTTTGAAATAAGATTACTATTGCATTGTAGGACTGAGGCATAAAAGAAGTTGCGGAGACTCGTACTTATGTGTACTAGATGGTACTAAATTTGATACAATTTACTAAATTTGTACAATTTAAATTTTGGGAGAACCAATAGAGTTGAAATCCTGAAAATTGGAATTAAGATCAATATTGCTTGTAGGACCGAGGAACGTGGGTAGTTTCGGAAATTCGTACTAATGTGTGCTAAATGGTACTAAATATGGTACAATTTAAATTTTGGGGAGAATCAATAAAGCTGGAATCCTAAAATTTTAAATGGAGGTGTGTAGGTAATTTTGAAAAATCGTACGTATGCGTACTAGATGGTACTAAATTTGGTACAACTTAAATTTTGGTTGAATCGGTTGAGTTGTAATCCTGAAAATTTAAAATAAGATTTCTACTGGACGGTATGATGTAGGCAGTTATGAAAATGTATACTTAAGTGTACTGAATGGTACTAAATTTGGTACAATTTGGATTTGGGTGAACCAATTACCAAGATTACTGTCGGAGTGTAGAATTGTTATATGTTTAGGGTCGCTTTTCATGTGTGGCCAAGACATATGGAAGTTCTTGCGAAAATTTGTACTTTAATTGTACGAAATGTACTAAATAGTACTACATTTGGTATTGGGTGAAGGGATAGAGATTAAATTCGGAAATTTGATATTTAGATTACTGATGGTATTTTTTTTTTTTTTTTTTTTTGAAATTTGGTGGTGGTTTAAAAATGCGTCCTATATTTGTACAAAAAGTACTAAATGGTACAAAATTTAGTATTGGGTGAAGGGATAGGACTGGGTTTGTCAAATTTGATATTGAGGTCACTTTTGGTATCTGCAATTGAGATATGGAGGTTGTTTTGGAAATTAGTACTGTTATTGTACGAAAAGTGCTAAATTTGGTATTAAGAGAAGATATAGAGCTGACATTTGATATAGATGTCACTGTGGTGTCTGTACTTAAGATATGAAGGTAGATTTGGAAATGGTGCGAATCTTGGATCAGTATTTGTGTCTAGAATGACGAGACGTAGTTTTTTTTTGGATATGCGTACTAAATGTTACTAAATTTTGTATTGGGTGATGGGATAGAGCTAAAATTCGGAAATATGATATTTAGGTCACTGTTGATTTCTAGGGTATACAAATGCAGATGTTGAAGTAATTTTTTACAAATGTGGGTCCATTTAGTACCTTTCGTACCATTATATTTCGAATTTCTTAAAAAACCACCATCATTGGCACACAATGCATGCAGAATTTCGAAATTTTAGCTTCAGTCATCAACCCTACACAATATTTTGTACGCTTTGGTACTTATATCCTTAAGACCAAAATTTCAAAAAATCCAAAATTTTATTACAAATTAAGTTTTTTTTGAGGGATTCAAAGTTTGGAAGAAAAATCATATTCTTTAGGTTTTCTTTTGAACTCATGTAAAAGAACTGGTGAAATATTGTATTCCCTGGAAACCAATTCGAATCATATGTTGCTATAGAGCAACTATATGTAGGTTTTTATACCCTCCACCAAAGTAAGTTGATAAAAATTTACTCAAATGTGTATTATGTCTGCAGGACTTTTGGTATTGAAAATGGGCCAAGTAGGCCCACGTTTTGGTATAGCCCCCATATAACGGTACCTCCCGCTATTCGGTATTTTCAGGATTTTAGCGACATTATTTATCGGAATTGAACAGTGTGGCTTGTTTGTTCGGGATACCGTAGTATTTTGTTGTTGCAAAATGCAATTGTTTACAATTTGGTGTTTGAAATTCGTAATGGATACTACAGCCTAAGACAGAAAATGAACCATGTAGGGCCACGTTTTCGTATAGCCCCCCTTTATGGTACCTCCCTTTTTTGCGATATTTTGATGATTTTAGCGACATTATTTATGGGAACTATTTCAATTTTGGTATTTGAAGTATGTAACGAATACTACAGCCTATGACAGAAAATTGTCTGTGTTGCTCCACGTCTTCGTATAGCCCCAATATAACGGTACCCCCCGATATTCGGTATTTTGATGATTTTAGCGACATTATTTACCAAAATGGTTTCAAAATTAATATTTGAAGTTCGTAGTGGAGACTACAGCCTAAGACAGAAAATTGTCTGTGTAGGTCCACGTCTTCGTATAGCCCCCATATAACGATACCCCCATTATCCGGTATTTTGACGATTTTAGCGACATTATTTAGTAGAACGGTTTCAAAATTAATATTTTAAGTTCGTAATGAATACTATAGCCTATGATAGAAAATTGCCTGTGCAGGTCCACGTCTTCGTATAGCCCCCACATAACGGTACCCCCCGATATTCGGTATTTTGATGAATTATTTACCGGAATTTTGTATTTGAAGTTCGTAATGGATACTACAGCCTATGCCAGAAAATTGTCTGTGCAGATCCACGTTTTATAACCCCCATGGTACCTTCCTATATTCGGTATTTTGATAATTTTAGCTACATTATGAACAGATTTTTTCAAGTTTCGCATTTGAATAATGGAATAGCTTGTGACAAAAGTGACCTATGTAGGTCCACGTCGTCGTATTGTTTTTTTTTAAGAATCCTCTATTCCTGAATTTTTTAAAAATATTTCTATTCTATATCCCTCCTCCCATGAAACCACTGTGCCCCCCACACATTACTGCTCTGCTGGTTTAAATTAAAACAATTCAACCAACCAGCGTACGTTTTGTGCTCACTCCATCTCTCTTTGGCGAGGAATAAAGCAACAAAATATGTTCGCAACATTCAAAGCAGATGCAGCACTTTCAAATGAATGGTAAGGCAGTGGCAAAACCAGCACGAAGCATGCGGCAGAGAACAAGATGCAGAAGGCATTGCCATGAAGAACATAAGGGGTGTCCTTCATAAAAACACACACAGACACACGGACACAAAAACAGAAGAGCCAGAGAACGAACGAACGAACAGAGGCCCAACAAAATCAGGACAGATGTGTGAGTGGTTGGTTGGCTGGCTGACTGAATGGCTGGGGTGAGCTGGTGGTTGGAGTGCAACAATTTAAACTGGATTCCAACTAGATTTGTGTGTAAGAGGCTGCGGCAAACGACAATCCAACCAGAAAAAAGGAGTCTACATAAAGCAGAACAGATTGTGGCAAAGGACCAGTTTACGTTTAGACGTCACCAGAGTTGGAACTACAAGTGCGTGTGTGCGAGCAAAAAATAAAAAGAGAAATATAAAATTTGAAAGAAAAATTAATTTCAGAAAATTAAATTTTAAAGAACTTGAAAAAATTTTGAAAAAAAATATTGAAAAATTCTCTGACTTAAGAAGTGAAGTGAAAAGTGTTTTTCCCGCTGAAAAGGACTAAGCCAATGAACATGATAATGGATAGCAGTCATGCCCATGCAATACAACGGACCTCTCCATTGCGGGAGTCGGCCACAACTCCGCCATCACAACATCCACATGCACACATTCACAATCAACATTTGCAACAAACTCCCAAGGATTTACAAATTTCAACAACTCCACCAACACCCCCGAATGAGGATAGCAATCAAATGTCTCCAAGGACACCGCAGGCGACAACTAATCCCAAAACCACAACCCTGAAGCGGTCCTTTGATGTGGCCTTCCTAATGATGCCCGATGAACGTTTAAAGGCCTCACAGGTGTCGCAGGAAAAACAAAAGTTGCAACAGCAACAACAACAGCAGCAACAATATCAGCCACAGCCAGCTAAGATACCAAATTTGCGCCAATATCCACAAATCACGGTGAGGACTCCTCGCATTTACGATGATCCCACCTTGGTAATAGCCTCCAGTGATTGGGAGTCTCATCCCCTGAAAAGTGCTTTTACCAAAGTCAACTCTCGGCTGGAGTCTCCGGGTCAACCTGCACCTCCCTTGAGTCCAGATCAATTGAGCTGCTCCTCAATGAGTCCCCCAGTGGCCACAACTCCACCACGCTCGGCCAGCGGCAGTAGTAATGACATTATTTCCATCGACAGTTTACCCTCATCTCCGGCGGCTCTTTCACCCACAATGGGTTATCAGAATTTCCGCCCAGAATACTCGCCAAATGGTGCATTTCAATCGGTGCAAAATCTCCAGGCCCATCGCCTAAAGCAACAATTCTTATATCGCTCCCCTGTCATGAGTCCCGAACATCAGGCGGCACCACCACCAGCAGCTAGCCCACCCGGATTTATTCCCGTCTATCCAGGATTTCCATTTCCACCAAATGCCGCGGCTGGTATGCCTCATCCATTTGGGCCACTACCACCGCCGGAAATAATGCCACGCATGGTACAAAATCCAGCCGCCGCGGCCATTCTTTCCACTCTCATACCGCCCACCTTGGCCTCCACGTTTACGCTGACCGCCCAAAATGTTTGTGCCAAGTGTAACATAAGCTTCCGCATGACCAGCGATTTGGTCTATCATATGCGTTCACATCACAAAAGTGAGGTATCGGCGGATCCGAACCGCCGCAAACGGGAGGAGAAACTTAAATGTCCTGTTTGCCAGGAGTCCTTCCGGGAACGTCATCACCTGACACGGCACATGACGGCTCACCAAGACAAGGCCAGTGATCAGACCAGTGGAACACCACCCAACTCATCTCCTAGTGGTGGTGGCAGTGGCGGCCAAGGTGACAATGGGAATTTCCAACAACAACACAACAATATGCCACGCATGAATTCCCAACGCTCCTCGGCGTCAGCGGCGGCTGCTGCAGCCTACTCGAAATGACTAAGGAACGAGTTTAATTATTTCTAAAGCCGACGGCTCAGGCGTTGAAAGTGTTTTGCAGTCGGATTGTTATTTTTTTTAGTCGGATGACAAATTTTTAAATATTTTAATTATTTTTTTTTTGTTTAAAAAAATAATTATTAATAATTGTGCATTTTGTGATATTAAATTAATACAACAAAGATATTAAAGGCTCATAAGTTGACCGATATTTTTTCTGTTTTCAACTCTCCCCAATTTTTAGCTTTAAGCCTTATTGAAATGTTTATTTTTCCGAATTTGTTTAAATAGTTCGTATGTATGTGTATTTTAAATATTTATAAAAAAATAGATTTAAGTATATATAAAACTAGTTTAAATTGAAAAAAATATATATTAATTCAAAATTAAATAATAAAATATATAAATAATAAAAAATTGAAAATTAAAATGAAAATTTTTGACTTTCTAAGAATAATTTTTGTGGAAATATCGGGAACTCAAATCTGGATTTCTAAATATATACAGAAGGACATACAAAGCACACTATGCTTAAAGGACTATCGGAGATTCGGTAGGTGGAATATGAAACATTTTTCAAGGGAACCAAAAGAGGACTTTAAAAAAATGTTTTCAGTCACAAAAATAAGACTTGTAAAGGACTTTTCTAAAGGACTTTGCAGCCACAAACATAGATTTTTGGAATATATTTTATAAAGGATGTTTAGGAATATTTAAAAAGGATAATTGGAAATGTCTGACAATTTGAGGAATTTTTTTTTTAAAAAGACTACCACATCCACAAATGTGGAAATTTTTATATTTTTAAAGAAATGCCAGTATAAATTGAAGACATATATAAAAAATCGAAATTATATCATAAAATTGAAAATTTAAATGAAAAGAATAACTTTTAAGGGAGCATGAACACGTAAACAAATTTTTTTAATATTTGTAGAAGTACAGCAGAAACTTACTTTGCCTTAAATGTTATCAGAGGTTCGCAGCGTAGATTTTCAAATATTTTAAAGGGTTATCAGAGCTTCAAATGGGGAGCTTTTAAACATTTTTTTAGAGAGGCATTCTGGGACTTTTATATTTTATTTATTTATTTTTTTACAGCCACAATAGTCGTTTTTTTTTTAATAAAAAATATATATTTTCTAAAGGATGGTGAGGTATATTTGAAAAAAAAAATCTGAAGCAATAATCGGAAATGTCTGAGAAAATATCTGTTTTATGATCATCTTCTAAAGCATAATAAAAAATTTTGAATAATATTTTGAAAGGGAAGGACTGCCATTTTAAATTGAAGAGATATAAAAATTCAAAATTAAATAATAAAATTGAAAATTTAATTAAAAAAATGTTGACTTTTAAAGAATTATTTTTAAGGGAGAATAATAATAATACTTTGTCTAAAGGACTACCGGAGGTTCGAATTTTTAGCACTTTTTCTAAAGGACACAAGTGAGGACTTTTATTTTTTTTTTAAATTCACAAAAAAAGGCTTTTAATTTTTCTTTATTTAATGGCTATTACATCGTGCGTGGTTTTTGAAAAATATTTTCCAAAGGATGATTAAAAAAAAGTGTCAGGAATGGTAAAAAAAAACGGAAAGCAGGAATGGTGAAAGGATAATTGGAAATTAATGATAACATTTCTATTTTAGGAATATTTTTTAAAGCATTATAAAAAATTTTTGAGGAATATTTTCAAAGGTACTTTGCACAGCCATAAATGTGGTTATTTTAATATTTTTAAAGGACTGCAAGTTTGAAATGATATCCTATATAAAAAGTGGAAATTAAAAACTAAAATAAAAAATAATGACTTTCTAAGAATAAATTTTAAGGGAGCATCGGAGACCCAAAGGATATTTTTTTATTTATAGAAGGAGATCAAAAGCTTACTTTGTCTAAAGGACTGTCGGAGGCTCGAAATGTAGATTTTTTAACATTTTTCTAAAGGACTATCAGAGTCACAAATAAGGTATTTTAAATAATTTTTTTAGTCACAAAAAAGGATTTAAAAATATTTTTCTGATGGATTTTACAACCACAAAGTGTAGAGTTTTAAATAATATTTTCTAAATGACATTGCGGAATGGAAAGGGTATTCGGAAATGCCTGATAACATTGTTATTTTAGGAATATCTTCTAAAGCATAATAAGGAATTTTGACAAATATTTTCAATAGTAGTTAAATACAATAAAGTTAAAATAAAAAATACAATAAATATTGATTATCTAAGAATAGTTTTTAAGGGAGCATCAGAGACATAAGATATTTTTAGCATTTTTCTAAAGGACACAAGAAAGGACTTTTAAAATGTTTTTTTCAAAGCCACAAAAATGCTTTCAAATACTATTTTCTGAATGGCTATTACATCGATAAACGAGGATTTTTGAAAAATATTTTTAAAGGAACACTAGGAATGTCTAAAAAAATTCTGAAATGTATGAGAATATTCTTATTTTGAGAATATACTTATTTTTGTGACTCTTTAGGAATATAAGAACTAAAACTATTACTGATATAACGGCGCAGTTTTTAAAATATTTTTGCAAATACTACCATTGTTACAAAATTTAAATTTTCAAAATGTTTTGACATATTTTCTAAATGAGTGCCAGAGCCATAATCGTTGTTTTTAATGAATATTTATCATCTGGGACATAGTGTTTAATTTTCATACTTTTTTGTATTTTATAGACCTTGAATTGATACATTAAAAACTGGTTTGAAATCACACCACAAATGTGGATATTTTAAGAATAAATCCTGAAGGACTATCAGTGGTATGGAATGCGGTATTTTTAAAATATTCTTGTAAACACCATCAGTGCTAAAAAGATGGATTCCTTTGAAATATTTATAGAAGAGGAGTAGATGGTTCTAAAATTTCAAATATTAAAGATTTTATTATTTTTAAATAAGTGTCAGAGCTTCAATCTTTTTGTTTTCATTTCTTTTTAAGAATATTTATTATCAGAAACATAAATTTCATATTTATAATGGCCTTTAAATGGCCAATGAAACCGTCACACGCTGCCCGAATGTTGCTCTGCGGCGAAGCGCTTGCTTGAGGTGATCGACACTTTGGTATTTTTAGTGCCAACCTTGCTTTCCAAAATACTGCAGACACAACAGTCCAACGGATTGGTATCCGGAGATTTTAGTGGCCATTGTGCGCTGGAAATGAAGCGAGGAACCTCATTTTGTAACCATTCTTGGGTGGAGCGTGCTGAGTGCGATGGTGCTGAGTCCTGTTGGAATGTCAAATGGCCAAAATGTTTGCGTGCCCAAGGCTTTAATACATCCTACAGAATATTTTCGCGATAATATTCGACATTTATTCTGATTAATAAGATCGAAGAGAGGCCGTCGGCTGTTATGGCGACCCACATCATCACCAGTTTTTTTATCTCACCTTGTATATTGTACCTGTCTTGCTATATATCCCATATCTCGGCTATCAGCATCACTGCAGGTCAGAAGCGGCCTTTTTTTTTGTATATGTGATTTCGCCATTTCAACCCCTAAATGTTTTACGATTATCTCCAAAAATAATAGGCTTCTATTCCATGACCCTTACACCACCTCAATTTTCTATTTCGTGAGGATCAATGCATAATTGCGACCTGTAGAGTGATAACAAATTAACATGGACAGACGGACGGACGGACATACATAACTAGGTCGACTCAGCTCGGCGAGGTAGGAAGATCCATATATAGTTTCTTTTGTCGGCGTTCAATATTTCGAGGTGTTACATAATTTTTGACCCAATCAAACTTATAATACACCTAGTGTTGTAGGGTATAACAACTTAGCAACCAATGTTTTGTGATTTTTACCACTAAGATAAAATTAAATAATTTTGTGACCTTACTGGAATATAATTTTGGGCTCGTATATTTTGTGGGCTACTGTAAATTTATTATTATTATTATGGCTACAAACCATTTTCTTAAAATGCAATATGTCAAGTCTTTACGCATTTATTTATGTCTTTGGATATGTTTTGTGAAATTTTATTTCCGTTCTATCTCATTTTCGTCTCAAATAACCGAAATCCTCATATCAATATCATTATTTCGTAAATGGCAACCCTAAACCTTCATTGACTTTTAGTTTATTTTTTGATTTTGGTCAAATCGGTTGTTCCTTTCATTTTCGGTAAACGGTTTTCGCGAAATTGTTAGTTTTATCTGCTATTTATTCAAGAAAAATGTGTGCTGTGTGTTATTTAGACAAAATTATGTTTCAAATCAGTGCTCAATTCCATCAAATGTTTGTGTTATATGTGTTCGGAAAAATTGCAATTAATTGCGTTATGTAATGTGAAAAAAATGTATTATTTTATCTCAGTTATTCCTTCTTTCGTTGCTCTGCCACTGCGCTCGTCGACGTTAACGTTTGTTTCTCGCTCGCACTGCTAGGCTCTCTTACTCCGTGCTCGATTATCATAGAATTTGGGAGAGAAGAGAGCTGAATTCACTGAACTTTGCAGGTAAGTTTTTTTTGGAGAGAAATTTCGTTTTCAAAAAAGTTAAATAACTAAACTAGTGTTGCCAAGGATAAATTGATTAAAAACTGGAGTTTGCTTAAAATTAGTTCACATGACGGAAATATTATCTCAATATTAAATATTTGTATACCCTCCAATTATTCTATGCAGAGTATATTAGCTTTGCCATTCCGTTTGTAACTCCTCGAAATATTAGTAATAGACACTTTAAAGTATATGTTCTAGATCAGCGTAAAATTCTAAGACGATGTAGCGATTCTGTCTAGCTGTCTGTTGTAATCACGCTATCTTTCGAACGAATTGAGATTGTAGGCTAAAATTTTGCATACATGGGCCATGTCGGTCCCAGTTTTCATATAGCCCCCATATAACGGAACCTCCCGATATTCGGTATTTTGATGATTTTAGCGACATTATTCAACGGAATTATTTCAAATTTGGTATTTGAAGTTCGAAATGCATACTACAGCATGAGACAGAAAATTACCTGTGCAGCTTCACGTCTTCGTATAGCCCCCATATAACGGTACCTCCCGATATTCGGTATTTTGATGGTTTTAGCGACATTGTTTACCGGAATTATTTCAAATTTGGTATTTGAAGTTCGTAATGGATACTATAGCCTATGATAGAAAATTGTCTTTACAGGTCCAAGTCTTCGTATAGCCCCCATATAACGGTACCTCCCGATATTCGGTATATTGATGAGTTTAGGTACAATACCCACCGAAATTGTTTGAGATGTCGTATTTGAAGTTCGTAATGGATGCTACAGCCTGTGACAGAAAATTGTCTATGCTGGTCCAGGTCTTCGCACAGCTCCGATATAAGGGTACCTCCCTTTATACGATATTTTGATGATTTTATCTACATTATTCACCGTTTATTTCAAGTTTCGAATTTGTATATGGTAATGGCTTATGACAAACAATGCCTATGTAGGTCCACGTATAGACCCCAATATAACGACTATATTCGATATTTTTAAAATTTTTACAGTATTTTTAAGGATTTTATTTTTTGACAATTTCCAAATTCGTTTCAAATGGTGGAGGGTATTCAAAGTTCGGCCTGGCCGGCAGTAATGCTTTTTAACTTGCTTTAATTCAACATCAAATTCTTTTCAAAGACTTCAAAACAAGAAATATTTGATATGAGCACAGTTTGAGATATCAATTTTTTTTTAAATTTCTGCCAAATTTCAGGTTGACCCCTTTAAAGAGCATAAGTTCTTAGAACGACGTCCACAAGTCAACCATGCACCATTTTTTCAATTAAAATCGACACATTTCGTTATGCTTTCGTAATAATTTTTACAAATAGTTTCCCTTATCTCCCCCCACCACCACCCCTCATCCATTGCCACCTAACATACGTTTCACTCGTACAATTTTTGTATGGTCATATTATTCTGTTGTCACCATTAATTCTACTTGTTCCCACAATTGTTATACATTTTCCTTTTTTTTTCGGAACAATCACCATCATCGTCCTTATTAACTTGTCTTGTTTTCACAAAACGAATGAATTGAAAAATAAAGCCACGAAGGAGAAGTAGCGAAGGTTCCCAGGATTTGCCAACAATTTATGTGGTTTAGTTATTGTTTAATAGTCTGGCGTTGCAAATTCTATCAGACTGTAACGAATTCCAAAACAAGAATCGACTCAAACCAATCGTCGTTGCCAATGGAATTTCGGGGGGTGGCTTCGACTGCTGCTCCCGGCTGATGAGCCTGAACAAATTTCAATAATTTAGCGTATCAAAATGAAATTTACATCCCAAAAGAATACATTTAGATTTCTCAATCATCATAACCGCGGAGGGGGGGATGTGCAATGGGAAAATTGAAAATTCGTTGGCACGAGCTAGAGAAGTGAATTGTTTTCGGTGAATAGTGTTCTCATGGGAGAGATAGAGAGTTTTATAAATTTAAATATTTTAAGAAGCGATTTAAGTAGTTCAAAGGTTAGTGGTTTTAAACAGATGTCGAATACCATGCATTATGACATCCTTAAAATTTTGAATAGATATTCATGATGAGAAAATGTTAGATTATAGCAGTCGGAGGATAAATTTTAGTTAACAATATATTTTGGGCATATACCACAATCTTAAACAAGAATTTTTCTAACAATATATTACAAGGTATTGCCGGCTTGGATAGCCAGAAAGGTGAGATTGTTAAGAATATTTGAAGATGGACTATCAAAGAGGATTTTTTGAAGAATTTTTTTAGGCGGGGTATCAAAGCCAAAAAAAAAAAAAAAAAAAATTAGAAATTGTTGATAATACTTTGAGAGCCACTGTAAAATCAAGAGATAAGGGATTTTTAAGAAAATTTTGAAAGAAACTTAAAGCCAATACCAAGTCATTTTTACTAAACTGTTGTATCAAATAACATCAAGGCCAGAAAAAAACGACTTTAAACAGAATGTTGAGATGGTCTTAAAGTCAAAACCATATTTTTATAGAAATATTAAAAACATATTGAAAGGGAGTCGGAAACTAGGATTTTTTTCAATTTTTTTTTGACTCACTGTTAAATCTAGAAATGTGAATTTTTATACCCAACACCACAAGGTGGTCAGGGTATTATGTCTTTGTGCATTGTTTGTAACAGGCAAAAGGAAACGAGATAGACCCATAGTTCTTTTTGATGATCTGCATAGAATCACATTCTGAGTCGTTTTATGCATGTCCGTCCGTCTGTCCGTCTGTCCATGTATTTTTGTAAACAAAGAACAGTTCGCATTTAATGCCCTATCCAGATGCAATTTTGCACAAATCATTTGTTTGGCCCAAGGACGAACCCTATTGAAATTGGAGATAATCGGTAAAAATTTAGATATAGCTCCCATATATATCTTCGTCCGATTTGCTTTTTATTGTGCACCAAACGTGTAATATCAATCCGAATAGTATGGAATTTTGCACGTACGATCAGATTGGACCTGAAAATAAGTATGCTAAATTTGATCGAAATTGGTTGAAATATAGCTATTGCTCCCATATATATTGTTCATCCGATTTGTTATTTTTGTCCTCCGCAGCCGTAATATGCACTCTGTAACAACGATATTCAGGGAAATATATCAAATACAGCTCAGAAATACATTTGCTAAATTTTATCGAGATCGGTTCAGATTTGGATATAGCTCCCATATATAACTTCGTCCGATTTACGTTTGATTGTGCACCAAACGTCTTATATTTGCCGAAATTGGATGAAATTTGGCACTTACGACCGAATTGAGTCTAGAAACTAGTATGTCTAATTTGGTGAAGATCGGTTCAGATATAGCTATAGCTCCCATATACACTGTTCATCCGATTTGTCATATTTGTTACCCACAGCCGTAATATGCACTCCGTAACAACGATATTCAGGGAAATATATCAAATACAGCTCAGAAATATCTTTGGCAAATGTTATCGAGATCGGTTCCGATTTCGATATAGCTCCCATATATATTTTTATCCGATTTCAGATTAATTGTACACCAAATGGGCACAACAAGTCCGAATTTAAAAGATACAAATGCTTCGGCATATTTAGTCTTTGAACTTTAAATTATAATTATAATAATTCTCCCATAAAAACATTTAATTGTTATGTGCAGATATACTAAATTACCAAAGTGGTGTAGGGTATCATAAAGTCGGCCCCGCCCGACTTTAAGACTTTCTTTACTGGTTAAGAATATTTTCTGGTGGATTCTCAAAGCCAGCAACTTCTGTTTCGAAATATTTTTCAGAAATCAAATCAAACCACTAACTTGGATTTTGTTGGAATTCTTTTTGGCGACTGTCAAAGCCAGAAACATGGGGACAATTTTTGGACCACTGTCAAAGCCATAAACATTGACTTTTTGGAGAAAAAAATTTTAGTCACTCCAAAATCAAGAAAAGTGGGTTTTTAATATATTTTTGAGCGATTAAAAAAGTAAAAAACGTACAATTTCTTGAGAAATGGAATATCGATTATGAAAGCCTGAATCGTGGATTTTTATACCTTCAGCCTTATGGCTGTATACATCATTTGATACGACCAAAACGTGTCTAATCGAAATCGAAAAGAGTCAAAAAAATGAAATAACCACAGCATTCATATATAAGAAATACAGACCCGTCTCTTTTCAAATCTCACACATAAAAATCTTTTGTTGAAGCAAGATCTGGTGTGAAGATAGGATATATTGGTCCCCTCCTTTTGGTATCTCCCTCAGAGAGGGGTCAACATTTTGAATAACCAAAATATTCAAAAAGTACGAAATAAGCATTCGTTTCTCTCCAAACTTCACACTTTCTATTACTTTTAGTAACACAAGCTCTGGTTTAAAGATGTACCCTCCTTCGGGTACTTACCCACAAAGGTGTCAAAATTTTTAAAAATTAAAACGTTCATAAGCTAATATGCATCCATTCATAATAATATGCATCCGATTATCTTCAAATTTCACACACCCAAATATTTTTCTAACATAATATGTTGTGTGAAGAAGCTATATTAGTTCTACCAATACAAGATCTGATGTGAAGATGGAATATATCGACCCACTCCTTCTGGTACCTTCCCCACAAAGGTGTCAAAAGATTGAATAACAAAATGTTCATAAAATGCGAAAGGAGCATCCGATTCTCATTCTCAAAACATTATCCAATGACCATTCAAATTGAAAGGCTTCTGCCCCGTCTAAATCTCTTTTGTCACGCAAAATTCCGCATCGATTAGTCTATTATTGTGTCCTGTTAAGTAATTGCAAAATAAGGAAATTTTCTGTTTTTGGTACATTCCGATAGCCTCCAATAACAGTAGACTTTACTTTCGACCCTAACAGACGGACACACTAAGCTATATTGTGGCTCTAGGACCGATATTTTGCGGTGTTAACAACTTTTTGGCCCAATCAAACTTATAATACCCCCAGCGCATAGCGTTATAGGGTGCAGAAATCCGTATAATAGTCATTTAAAAAATATA